CCCCCCCCCCCCCCCCCCCAGAGTTTAAAATGATTTGATAACTGTTAGAAATCTTCCACTGTCCCATGGGAAGGTTGGGGTTAAAAAAAAAAAATAAATTGAGTATTTATACAATTATTGCCTTTTTTTTTAAATGTTGTAGATTAACATCTAATGCTGGAGGTTTTCCTTTCACAGCAGATTTGGACAGCATATCACAGCTAATTCAAGTGATGTTCAGAGGGCCAGTAAGAGCAGCACATAAGCTGGAAGTACCTGATTTGTCTTTTAGTTTCCCTGCATGAAGTCCGAGGAGGAAAGCCCCGTACAGTTGGTTTGCAAACCAAGTGGAAATACTCAGCATTTCTTGCAATATCCAGCATTACTGACCTTCCCTGCGACCTGGACAGGGTAAGTATTCTCTGCCTTTTGCAGCTGAGGGGTAATAGATTCAAACTTCCAATTCAACTTTGAATGTAAATTTAAAGCTGAGAGGGGGTGGACTCTGGTACATGAGGGTCCAGCTTCATAGGGCTGCCCTTTCAGCCACAGGATCATCCCTCCAGGTGGAGAGGCTCATTTGGCTATTCCAGGATGAGCAGCACCTACTGAAGAGATTATTTCCACCTGCCTCATGCCAATATTGCATCTTGGACAGGCCAGGTCCAATGCTGGTGTGTAAACCCTTTAGTCAAAGAGTAGTTAGATCCCTATGCAAGTTGCAATTTTTCTTTTCATAGTAGTTTGGAGAGGGGAGAACGTCTCGAACTGAAGTCTACAAACTGCCGGTACACCAAAATGCACTGCTTCTCTTGCCTTCTGGGGCATAAACTACATGGCTCTCATGGAAGAAATTGCTGACACTACCTCAAGCACTTTGTCACCTTCAATGGGACGGGGGCTGCACAGACTTTCAAGATGGGATGCCCCACAAGAGGGTCTGGAATCCTGCTGAGATAAGTGTAAGGCTCAAGAGCCACATGTTAAAAGCAATTTAGTAGTCTTGATTGCATGTCTCTCTCCCACCTCTTAATGTGAATTGTTCTTTAAAAAGGCAGTTCCTCCACACAGCCACTGGTTTCAAGTTACTTGGTAGCTCATTAAATCTAAATTCAAGTCTCAATACTCTGATTACCTTCCAGGACAGAGGAAGGTGCATGGGGGGGAGGGGGAGAAGGGAGAGGGAAGTTTGAGACCCTATTTATCCAACAAGCAAATCCAAGGACCCAGGTCTAGTTTGGCAGGGTTAATACTCCAGAAGGCTTGCTCAGCTGTGGTAACTAAGGAAAGCTAGCTGCTACATCAGTCATCTGCAGCAGATCAGTTTAGAATAGTTAAACGATTTTACAAGCCAGCGTGTCTGGAATAGCCAGTACCCACTTAGAACCCTTCCTCTAATGAGGCCTTCTCAGGACCAGCCTAGAGACATTCTGAAAGAGGGTCTACACTCACTTCAGAGAGAAGCATCTTAAGGTCAGCAGCTGGTTTGGTGAGCTGGAGACTCAAGCATGCAAACAGTATTAAGTGTTGTCTGATCTACAGAGTTCAGCGCAGACAGATTAAAAAGTAACATTAAAGTGTTACAAGTGTAGCAAGTTTAGATTGCCCTGCCTTTGTATCCTTCCAACATAGATGAGCTGCTGTTCCATCTGCCAAGTACAGTAGTTTTGTTTTTTAAACTCCACGAGTCCGGAATGAAAAGAAACTAGAAGCTTTTTAAACGTGTCAATTCACCTTTAATGTTTGAAAAATAAAAAGGTATTTGAGCAATTGCAGTTATGAAGGGAACATCTCTCGCTCCACAGAAGAGTGAACAGGTTCACATTGGACTCATGCTTGGAAAACAAATACACATTCTCCAGTTTAGATCAAAAGTGGAGTTCTGTATAGACAAGATTGCCAGAGTACCCCGGTTAGCCCAATGCACCTCGTCCCCAGATGGGAAGTTTTCTGTCAACATGAAATAAATTATACCACATCCTGTCTAGTTACAACATGGTTCTATCAATATGACAAAGTTAGGCATACTTTGGATTTTGCACAGTCTACAGACACAAGGACTTTTACGTCAGAAAGTCGCCAACCTGGGTCATTAAGTCATTTCACAATTAGTTACACTGTCTTCCCCCTTCCCCAATACAGAGAACATAAAGCAGTGACATGTTACTTTCAACAATCAATTTGATTCAGCCAAGAGTTCAGAGTCACCTTGTCCTAAAGAATTCACTCCATTTTAGAAATTTTGCCCATATCAGCTACTGATCAGGAAGCTCTTACTGCAAGCACCAGGTTTTGCAGAAGCTGCCATAAGTGGTTTTTTTTTGGGGGGGGGGGGGGGAAGGAGAGGAGGGTGCACCACCCTGGTACCTTCTTACCATTTGAACTAGAAATTACTACACTAAGACAACACTGTTGACCCTCCTGGAGAGACTATTCTGCCTTGGGAGAATACATTCACAAGTTTCTCCTCTCAGAACAGCTTCTGCTAAGAAAAAAATGAGGGCAGAGATTTGAGACACAGAAGCTGTTCCTGGAGGATTGTCTCCATCAACAACCATGCAAAACATGTCTACAAGCCTTCCGGAGCACATGGCGATTTCAAGGAAACTTGTGTTACAGCAGTGTATTCCAGATATGGGCATGCCAAATCAAGTCTCAGATTCTGGTGTCAGTCACTAAATTTAAATTGTCTAGTCCATTTTGGAACAGACCATTTGGCCGAAGAGAGCATGTCTCAGTGATAGCAACTAAGTTCTGGATCATCTCACCACCAAGCAACTGAGGCCAGGAGATTCTGCCTCCTACAGAGACAAATTAAGCAGGGGGGGAGGGGGAAACACTTAAGAGTTTCAGATGAGATTAAGTTGCTGTCAGTTTAGTTAAGCCAGGTAGGCTGCACAGAGGGCAGTGGATGCAGGCATTTCTACAGAAAACAAAGCCCAGTCGTAGGATTTGCCATGCAGTTCCAAGATAGGGTAAGCTTTGGAATAAGCTCTTGGAATAAAAACTTTATTAAAAAGCCTCCCTACTAACTTACATGGGCAGACCCCCCCCCCCCAACTGCTGAGATGACCCAAAGTCAAAATCGACAGCTCCCATATCCACCCCCCCAGACTAAAACTGAAAAGGAAGTTGATATTCCTCCATATACACACAGAGAAGTTTAAACAGTCTAACACGAGTATTTACTATGAACTCAAACAGATCTCTTTTTGGTCTGCTAAACAAAACGTGATTTCCCAGCCTTACCAAAGAAAAGGTTACCACTGGGGGAGCTGTTTGTGGAACAGTTTTATTTCTTCCCACTTAAAGGCCATTGTTTAAGCATTTACAGTTTTCCTAGTGCAATACAACCCAAAAATAAAGCCGTAACAAAAACAAAACAAAAAAAAGATGCCGCCTTCTTCCCAGGCAACTAAACAGAAGTAGATTTTACTGCAACATATACACATTAAATAGAGTACACAGTCCATGCAGCGGCACAGCCATGTTAGAGGGAATCTTGGCTTTAGCCATCAGTGCATTACAGTCCAAGTTTCACTTGCGCCTACTTCCTATCCAGACTTGAACAGAAGAATTGCAACCTGACCCAAGTAAAAATAGATGAAGTGCTTTGTCTCATGTGTTACGTAGCTGCCAAAATTTCTGCCCACAATGCAGTGCCAAGTGGGGTTGTATTTCTTGTCAAATTCCTAAAGGAAGAGAAAGTACAGTAGTTAAGTAAGAAAGCCCCCACTAAAACAGTCCAAAATATACATTAATTGGTTGCAGTTCAATACAAATGCAATGGACCTCTGAAGACAGAGGTGCATGCAAGATACTACTACATTACACAATTAGCAGGGGACAAGAGGTCTGCACTAGCATCACGTACTTACTGAATGATTTACACACAAGCTGCAGATTTTAAAGGTCCCCTTGGTACAGTGGTATTCAAACCAGATGTATAGGCCATTTGTTACAGAGAACCATTTAAACCCTCCCATTCCAAGCCGACTCACAGAAACAGTCTGTTGGCATGCTTGTGCTAACAAGCCATTGATTTCAAAGGTCACTTTTAAAAAAAGGAAAAGTGAGGCTTTGGGCATTCTTCATAAAGAAGCAGAAGAGTTTGTGACCAGACTTCCTAATGTAAACAAGCAGAATAATTCACACATTGTCTGCCTTGCAAAGGGAACAAGTGAAGTAGTGTCTCAGTGGGACAAACAGTTTAACCAAATGTAGCAATTGGTAGGGAAGAATTTCTGATAAGGGTGAGCGCTCTTGACAGCCTCCTCAGGCATCACCTGGGAAATATCAGACTGAACACTCCTGATTTTTAAAAAACAGTATCCACCCCCTGCAGAAAAAGAAAGTTAGTCTGAGGTTTTCTATCCACCAGAAAGAAGCAAGGCAACAAAAGGCGGCTTTTGCAGGTAACTTTTCTTGTATCAGCATAGAATGTGCAATAAGTGGTTTCCTTTATATCAAGAAAAGCAGCAAATATGCAACAAGCCTTTCCTGAACTTTAGTGGTCTGTTGTATTCCAGTCCCCCATGCTGTGTTTCTTGCACTGCCCCCCCAAAGACCTTTCTGAATTAGTCACTTTGACCTGGAGAAGCCAGATTTTAAGAAAAACCAACAGTCTCAATGAGCTGAGGAGATCTACAATTCAACTCAAATTAGAGCTGAACCGAGTTAAATAGTTGGTCTCAAATCCCCCTGCCTAGTTTTGGTTTCAGAGTTGTATTTTCCACTGGGTTCCCCCCCACATCCATAGTGCACTCCCCCTGCTGTGTGTGTAGGCCCTTCACACACCAAGAAAAAAACCCAGCTATACACAAGATACCATCAAACCGAAAAATACTTTGATCATGCAGTTATTCTAACCTTGAGGGTTTTCTGAGATAAATACAGGTGAAGAGTTCAGACAGCCATGAGGTCTGTTGCATCATCTCTGCAGGCCTAATTTTAGGAAATGCTGAGTCCCCCCCCCCCAGCACTGATCTATTCACTTCATTTAAAGCTAGAAATAGGCAGGAAAATGGAGAGGGAGGGGAAGAATAGGCAGAAGTGGCAGTCTATCTAACTCTACTTAGCACTTTTAGGCAAGTGAGTGTCACTTGACTAGATGGGTTGTTTTGTTTAACTACTGCAGCCACACAGGGCTTAAGCCAAGTCATCTCATGTCTTCTAAGGATTCCATAAAATTGCAGAGAGATGGCAACAATACATTACCTCACTACTTAAGGTAAATAGCAAACAAAGCCAGCAAGAATGGTCCATTGGTTCTAGCTGAGGACTTGTAAATCCGGAGTTCAAATCTTCAGACTGCCTGTGTGGTCTACACCAAGTCATAGAATCTGTCTCTGGCTGAGAAACAGGGATAACAATCTCGGGGGGGGGGGGGGGGGGGGGGGGGGGAGGGAAC